CCCTGCCAGATAGAGCACGTTATGTGCGTTCCATGAACGAACGACACAAGATTACGCAAGAGCCAGAGAGTAAAAAATCGATTTTTTTAGCAGGTTCTAAGCTATCTTGTTTCGCTGGTAAGCGAAAGGAAAGTAAACAAAGCAAAGAAAACAACGAAAACCAAAATTAACCAAAATTATTCTTAGCCATTTTAAACGCATAGTTTGGCTTAAAAGATTCATTAAAAAGCTTGTTGTCATATTCAATTAAATTTTCTTTAGTTAAAGGAAAGTTTAAAATGGTGGTGCTTGTGATGTAAACAAATGCTCAGCTGACGAACCAGCTTTCGCAAACTTTTTTCTCAAAACCAGCAAAGAACGTAAATCTATAAGAAGAGACAACACGTTATAATTGTAACGAGTGGGAACATCAGGAGCGTGCTTTCTCTTTTACCCAAATACGTTTTGTGGTTGGATGAAAAGAGAAGGCACGCTCCTGATGTTCACACTCGCTACAATTATAACGTGTTGTCTCCTCTTATAGATTGACGTTCTTTGAAACCAGTTACAAATACAACGGGGCGTTCTTGCCTGATTTTGTATTTTTGGTTCATGAGTGCGTTCCGCTCAAGCTCAGTATATCCAGTAAAAAAAACTGTGTTATTTTTGACTTAAGGCGCACTTACGGCGTCATTTACATTGGGTACAGATCGATCTGATTGGCTTGATGCCATTTTGAAAGTGATATGTAAAACAGAAAGTTACCCACATGAGCCCACGCAAGTGCAGGTACCTTGTTGTTGGTGCGGGTGCTTAGCTGAATCTCCATTTAAACCTTCCCTGAATTGGGGCAACGCAGCCGCTCCTGCAGTCTCTGCGCTGCCCTCTTTTCCAGCTAGGGCTGCTGGCGAACAGTTACCAGGAACTGCAGCCTACTAATCCAGGGTGTAACGCGACACCGTGCCTATTGGGCGGTTTGCTGTCAGGAGGTTAAACCGGCTGTATTTTAACGGCGCCTTCTCGACACCGGGCCGCCTCGAGGAGTAACGGTGGCCTTACCGCGACAAGGGCCGATTTGTAGACTGCTACGACTGGCAGGTCAGGCACGCGGTCGTAAGGAAAATATGAAGACAACAAAAGAAACAAAAATGAAACAAATATAACAAAGAAAGGCAAATAGAAAGAGGGTCGAAGGAAGAACTTCTTGGATGGCCTCTCTGATGCCGAGGCAGTGCTTTTATTGACTACGAGAGAGATGAGTCCTCCGCGAGTAGTGGTATATTCGACGTAAGGGCGTTGATAGACACCGATGTGGACAAAAGGCGCGGAGGTAGACACCACAGCGAATCTTCACGCGAGCGCGACAGGTCTCCAAGCCAGTCCGGCTAAACAACATAGCGAGAATCCATGCGGCGGGAGCGACCCAGCAACATTGAGTCGAGCGCACCCGCGAATGAGCGGAAGATCGGGCAGCACCAGCAGCAGGATATTGAAGTATCCGTCAGTCAGACCGCACTCGCCGAAAAGCGGGCATTACAGCCAGAAAGCAGAACCCAAGCCCGCTGAAAAGCGGCGCGATGAGCAACCCCGATTCGGGCACATGGTACGATAGTCGCGCTGGCGAGACCGCACCCGCTGAAAAGCGGAAGAGCGGGCAGTATCGACAAGATGAGAACCACGGAGACGACGGGAAAAGGGTTAGAGGTTTCGCCGAGACCGCACCCACTGCAAAGCGGAAGAGCGGGCAATTAACACCCCAAACTCCTGCTCCAAAGAAGCAGCGAGAGCTACGGCGAAAGAGGACGATCAGGTTTGTCAGCCCGCACCTCCAGCCCAATCTTCTAACCGGCCAGGTACCAACCAGTAAGTTTCAGCGGATACTGCTTCTCAACTGGGCCTTAACGGGTCTCAGACTATATACTAACTGGTTCCCAAAGACCTGTTACCAACTTGTCCTAAACTGTATACCAAATGGGCCCCCCGTACCCCAAGTGGTTCTCAAGTCACTCCACCAAATTCACCCACTGAGACAAACACCACGTTTTCGTCTCTGTCTAGCCCTTCGAAATTTTTTGCTGGGCTATGTGTTACATCTTCGCAAATTTTACTACTACCGAAACCAAAGATGTATAGAAATCAATAATTCAATGAAATTCTGATACATAAGTATTGTATTTTATCAGACTTTATTTACATTCTCTTTCAACATACGCACATGCATATATGACAATATGTACATACATACATACGAGCACCAATTAATCTCATTTAAAGAAATGGCGTGTCTTCCATTTCCGCCATAGTGTATGTAGTGCATATTTTTAAGCACAATTTTTAGCTACTTCCGGCATGGCGACATCTACCTCTCGTGTCTACTGTATGGTCTTTGATATGCCTACCGACGAGGTAAGTTGATGTCTAGAATTTTGTATAGGAACTTTGATTATAATCTATAATTATAGCAGCAAAGGCGTCAGGACATGCAACATTGAAAGTTGATTAAAGCGTTGTACAAATATCCTCTGGCGAAGACAAGGATAGCTTGTTATATTTATTTTCATTGATTTACTTCGTACTTTCTCCTTGTGGGTTTTGTACGCCGCAAAGTTGTGTTCAGTCAAAGAACGTAAATCTATAAGAAGAGACAACACGTTATAATTGTAGCGAGTGTGAACATCAAGAGCGTGCCTTCTCTTTTCATCCAATCTAAAAACGTATTTGGGCAAAATAGAAAGCGCTCCTGATGTTCACACTCGCTACAATTATAACGTGTTCTCCCTTCTTATAGATTTACGTTCTTTGGTGCAGTAAATTTTCAGATTTTACTGACCTGTCTTACTGCAGTGCGGTATGCCGAAATCAGTCCGCTCCGATTTCATGTATGCGACACTAAAGTGAAAATGCCAATTGAAATACATGAGGTCGGCTAACTTTCGGTATACTTTCGGTAAAAACCAAAAATTTCGATCCGATATCATACCGAGTATTGTGAAATCGCTCTTAGTCTAGACTTGTGTGTATTTAAACTTGCGAGCAAAGTTGAAACGCAGAACGTATACTTAAACGCAGTCCGTATACGCAGAATTTTGTCGATTACTGGAGCCCTCAGTATTGCTTACTACAGTGTTGCCACTCCTCAATGCCTTTTCATAAACTTACCTCTTCAACTACAATTTTTCGTGCCAGAATAGATCGTAGCTAAATATAAACTTCTTAGGTTTCAACAAAAAACCTTATTCAATAGTAAGTTTCAAATATTTTAAACGTATTGTTACGATTATCCTCGAAACCTTGAGGGATTTCTCATGAACCAATTAGAACAGATCTGACCGGTTGAGAAGCCGCCATTTGTAATAGCAATTGAGAAAAAAGTGTGTGACGTTCGTAATTTTGAAGCTTGCTATTTCTGTTTTTCCTCTTTCTTTATGTGTATTTTGTCGGTGGTTTATTTCAGTGATTTTTAAGCAATTTTCAATAATTTTTTTGTGCAAATGTAATTAAAATGAAGTGCGCGTTGATTGGTGGCAAAAACACGTACAAAATAATAAATTGGTTAGCACAAACATGTGCTGCAAAATTGCTTGCATTTTTTCTTTATGCTTCGTCTTCATATTCTTTGTTTACTTTTCAAAGAAAATAACATGGCGCCGAAATTACAAACGTCAGCCAGAGAATTACTTTTTTCTTTTGCTTCATCTTGTCAGATCTTGTGTAGTTGGATCATGGGGATTTCCCAATATCCTCCGGCTCGTATCGCTGGATTGTTCATCGCTGTTCGCAGTGTTCATCCAACTGACGTTTCTCTTTGTGGAATATTCTACGTCATTCCTCGAACATTCTGCCTAACCATCTATAGAAGGAAGAAATCAGCTGACACGGAAAAATCTAACGAAGTTTTGGTGCAAATGAAAATATAGCTGTCAAACTACCAAATTGCCGGCAATAGATGGCAAGATATAAGCTCTGATATATATTGCTCTCGAAGAGCAATGAGCGGTCTCCATTGGCAAATTATATTCCGACATATGTATCAAGATATAAACTTTATCCTGTGGAGACGGCCAGTAAGACAGATCGTGTCAGCTGACTCGGGTTTACGTACCGGTAGTTTTAAGTTCTTGACTAATTGCAGCTAAAGTTCTTGACCATGTAAAAGGCCCTACACACGGATCGATTTATCGGCCGCCAGTTGGCCAAGCGCTAGAAGTTGATGGTAAATAAGCCGTGTATAGGCAAGTTGGCAAACCTTCGTCAAGTTGTGCGTCAGGTTGGAGAAAAATTAAAAAATTTTGATTTTTGAGGCAGGTTGGTCAACTTGTTGCTCTGTGTGTAGACAAGTTGGCAACCTAAAATGCGATTGCATTTTTTTAAAGGCGCATTAACGTTAACATGTGTGTTTTCGGTTCTTTTCTCTAGTGAAAATGCGTACTATTTGTGAAGACGGGGGGCGGTAGCAATAACAAATACATAAAAATGAGAAGCATTCCGAGCATAGCTTAAAAGTTTGCCAGTGCTGTTGTGTTGTTCACAGTAGCAACGCGAGGCCTTCCACTGCGTTTGGGGTTAAAGTAAAACACTCGCGGTTTTTATAAACGTTATAAATGTTTATTTATTAAATAAATAAATTATGTTCCCAGATGTAACTATTTGTGTACATATATATATGTAAATAACATGTAGGTAAGGAATGCCCGTTGAACTTAGCTTTTCGGTGGCCGTTTTCCCGTGTGCGCGCGGTGACGGTTGAATTTGGAGTGCCTTCCATTCTCCCCTTTCTTTTAGTCCGTAGCGAGAAAGTTGTTAGTGCAGTGAGGGCATTAGGGTGCTCCTTCATTACAATCGGATGAATGAACACACAGTTCAAAAACTCTCACTCAAATGAAATCGGCCAACTGGTTGGTGCGTTTGTAGGGAATTTCGTTAAGTAGGTTGGTCAACTGGTTGGCCGATAAATCAATGCGTGTGTAGGGCTTTTAACGTCCAATTAATTGATGGCTAATTATTTAGCGATATGGCAGCACGCTCGCAAACTCAACGAAAAAATTCGGAGTAGCAAAAGAAAAGTGTGACGCGTTCCTGCAAGAATTGTACAATTAAATTAAATTAAGTTGCGAGATTGTTGCTTATCAGCTAAAGAATATCTCTTGACGGTAATAATTTTGCTCTACTATATTAGTAAAATAAGTTTATCAAAGGGAAAGCAATTTCCAACAAACTATCGGCTGTTTTGCCAGCTTGAAAATATAAAGAAAATGGCGTCTCATGTGGCGTTTTGCAAAACCGAATAACCTAACTTTTTCTTAGCATTTTTTCCGGGTCGAATAGCACGATACTCAATTTCCATTAAAAAATGGCTGATAATGATGATCTTTTGGATTATGAGGATGAGGAGCAGACCGAGACCACTGCCGCCGAAGTCCCTGAAGCACCAAAGAAGGACGTGAAAGGCACATACGTGTCAATTCACAGTTCGGGCTTTCGTGATTTTCTGCTGAAGCCGGAAATTTTGCGTGCAATAGTTGACTGCGGTTTCGAGCATCCGTCTGAGGGTAAGAAAATGTAAATTGTATATTTTTGTAATTATCAACTGAAGTTGGTGCGCTGTTTAAATGATGATACTATTGATAGGGACATCAGATATATAATGATCGATTTATCAAATTTAAATCTAAAAATTTTGTTCATTCTAGAGATTGATGATGGGTAACTAAACTTTTCGTTCACACATATTATGTATTTATTTTATTACAGTGCAACATGAGTGTATACCACAGGCAGTGCTGGGAATGGATATTCTCTGTCAAGCCAAGTCGGGTATGGGTAAGACTGCTGTTTTTGTGCTTGCAACTTTACAACAGCTAGAACCGACGGAAAATGTGGTATACGTGTTGGTTATGTGTCATACTCGTGAATTAGCATTCCAAATTAGCAAGGAGTACGAACGATTCTCCAAGTATATGCCAGCTGTGAAGGTAGTTACTAATATACTCTGTTAAAATTTTGTTGAATTCGAACAGCATATATTTTTGAATATTTAAGGTTGGCGTATTCTTTGGCGGCTTATCTATTCAGAAAGATGAAGAATCGTTGAAGGGTACAACGCCACACATTGTTGTTGGCACACCAGGTCGTATCCTTGCCTTGATACGCAACAAAAAACTTAATCTAAAGCACTTGAAACACTTTATTCTTGACGAATGTGACAAAATGTTGGAACAACTTGGTAAGCTTTAAACACTAAAACCCAAATTCATAAAAAATAAAGAAGTCTTGTAACTGCTTTATAATTTATAAACCCGGAATTTGTATGAAAATGTCATTTTATAGAGCTCTTTAAATCTATTTTATTTTCTTATGAATAAGACCATAATGGTGCATTTACATGGTATGAAGCCATATGAACTGTTGATACGCTAAAATAGAGGGACTACATGTTCTTATGAGGAATTCAATGATATCGAGTGGGATGCATATAATAGATTTTTTCATATGAAAAATTATGGGGAGATACTGTAAACATACTGTTGTGATACTGTTATGCATATGAAATTCTAGCAAGTTGGATTTTCATACATCTTCCCATAAAAAGTTTAACAGATGCAGAGATACCAAGGAGGTTTTTTCCCATTTTGATGCCTTTTTTAATATAAAACCCACCGAAAAGAAGGAAAGCGGCAACTCCGCGTTCACATACATGTCAAATGTAGGAATTTTAAAAATTAAAAACAATAAACAATTTCAAGCGAACAAAAAATCTTTGTACTAGATATTTTTCAATAGAAACAATTCACGTATGGTGGACAATAAAAATACAAAGCACTATGATAACAAGACATTACACAACATTTTAATGAGCTTTATATCACATTTAAGTAAAAATAAGCCTATATTTTCCAAGCTTGCAAAGAAATGAAAATGTGTATTTTTTGTTGTTTACAAAAAGACTTGCCAAATATCCATATAAGTCAAAATTATGGAAGGTATGTATACTTCTCCCTTTCATTTTTTCATACAGTTGATGCTTCTTTCTGGCTTTTGCAAAATGCAGGGATACCAGACTTATTTGGGTACAATATGATCGTAATGTATTTTCAATTCGAAATTAAAGAAAAAACCTCCCACGAAAATGTTTGCCATTGTAGAACAATAAGTGTATATTTGCAAACTAATGCAAAGAATGGAGTGTCATATCATAAAAGGTTGGGAGAATTAACGAACAGACATTTTATTGTCTTACGTTTCCTTCAAACCGCATTGCTCTTTTTTCTAACTCTTCCTTTTGTTTAGCGCTGTAACCGCTTAAGTTATATCTTTTAATTTATACATGTGAGTTATTTTCAATTAGCATTTTTTCATTTGCTCCTGAATTTTGGGTACATTTTCTTATAGTACCTCTCATTATTTTTTATATTAAATATCGATCACTGAATGGAAGATCGTACTATCTCAGCAGCCAGTTCGAAAACGCCCTATCTCAGAAACATTTTCAACAACGCCCTATCTCAGAAAACTTCAAGAATGTCCTACTTCAGAATTTGATTCAAAAACGCCCTATCAGCTTATTTTCAATGTATTTTCGTTTGACATAGGGCGTTTTTGAGCCGGATTATGAAATAGGGCGTTATTCAACCA